CAGATGTTTGTAAACTCCTGTAAGATGAAATGGTTCGTTCGGTACAACACTGCCATCTACCATTGGCCCAAATCGGGGTTTGAACTCTGGGACTTGTACAGTGTCGTTCATGATTTCGTTCAGCCTCTTGTTTCGTAAGCATTTTGCCATCTCGTCGTTCGCCTCTGTCAGTGGGCAGTTGAGATTCTGTGCCACCTGGATGCTGATGACTGAACTAGCTGTCAGAGCCCAGTCCGCTAACGCCGTCCCACTCATCAGAATCGCTCGATGAAACAGCCCTTCAGCTGTTTATAAATAAACAAGGAACATTACGCGGATAGACAAACGAAATTACATCCTCAAAACCTTGCATTTAATTCAATTTTACTACAGGAATAAAATCTTTGATACAGTAGATATTGTGTTAGAAGTATTTTATAGATTTCTTTCAAATGTAACAGACAGAAACTAGTCATATGGAAAACGTCCTGCCTTACGAATGCCTAGTAAAGTAATTTTAGCAACAGAAGACAAATATATTTTAAAAAAAATATTGTAATTACGGGAAAATACTGTTTAGCGGTTGGCAGTAGTGTAGGACCTTGTGGGGGAAAATAAAAACCCGAAGACGGACTCGTAGGTCGAAACACGAGGTGATAAATCAATTCATAACGTCAGTAAATAATTTTAAAGGTTTGTAAATACGAAAAATAATTAATTTGAGTAAATAATTTTAAAGGTTTGTAAATAAGGAAAATAATTAATTTACTTCATTAAGAACCAAAGAACTTAAAACACAAGACTTAGGAAATTCTGTGGTACTTCCGTTGTTTTCGTTTTGATGTCTGCAGCCATTTTGTGTACCGGATACATTTAATGGTCAATATACACACCATCAGTGCCCTGGGACACGGGCGACACCATGAGGTAGTTAACACAAGCCGCTCCTGTCCCATGTCCCATCAGCGTAACACTTCCCGGGTTACCGCCAAACTCTTGAATGTTTTCCCTGATCCAATGCAGTGCTGCTATCTGGTCGAGCAGTCCGAAGTTACTCACCGTGTGTTCTCCAGTTCCGGGTCGTAAGAAACCTGAAACGAATCCGACCTTGAAGCTGTGACGTCATGCTGAATATAGCGGGCAAAATATTGGCCTTGTCAAAAATACACGACTTTAACTCCATATAATGAATCGTTTTAACAACTGTGTTTCAAATTATGAACGTACAGCCACAAATTTACGGCCATAGCAAACATCGCCGAGTTCAGTAGTCTTGAATGTGCTGCCCCTAGTGGCAACATCATTAAGCAGCAGCGACCGAGGTGGCGTATAGAGCAAAGCAAGAATCCAGAAAAGTCTTTTTCGTAATCATTGCCATGAAAAACTCAAATTTAAATTCTTACAGATGGCAGAGGAATATAGCACTAAGCGGGAGAAATAAAAAATGCATACAAAATTATAAACGGGAAATCTCTAGATAAAAGATCACCCATGGAACCTCTGCAAAGAAAGTAGGATCGTATTAATAAGGATCAGAAAAGGTGTGAAGATATGGATTGGACAAAACCAGCTAAGTACAAGTAAGAGAGGGCTCTTACGAACGAGATACTGAAAGTAAGATTTAACGTTCCTACAACGCTGAGAACGAACATGGCTGCCTTCTGGGTTGTATACCGCAGTGTAGTATGGTTTTCATCGCCCTGATGATGGAGGCAACAAGGACCTTCGAAACGATGATAAACCTCCATCAGACTACACGGCGTTACAACCCATCTGAGGTAATGAAACTCTGGGTCTTATACAAAGCGAGAAATACCTTGACCAGCTAAGCTGAAATCTGGTTCTCAAAAACGACTCAGATCCACTGAGTTTTACTAATTAAGTTGATGAACCTCTCTGCCTCGTAGTGTGTAGACTGTGTTCCTAATGTACCCAGACTCCGCCCCGCTCATCAAAGGCTTCTAACTTCTGTTCTGTCTGTCTTCGATTTGCTCTCAACAGCTGATTCCATGGAGCAAAGTCCTTCTCGAGATACAATGCCCTCAGCTAGACAAGAAATTCCCCGCCTTTTATGAAAATGTATTCTGGTGAAATCGCCCATTAGGACGACGGTGAAGCTAGTAAACATCTCTGAAACGTCGATCAATTTCCACGAGAGTCTACAGAGCGACATCCCAGAAGGCGATCATCTCCATAATCCATAAATAACCGTGTTTACAACAGCTCTTTACCGGTTCCTACCCCGAAACATAAATTAAATCCAAACCCCTGAACAAATTCAAGATTCACTTTAATATTATCATCCCATCTACATCTATGTCTTGTGAGTTGTCTTTTCCTTCAGATTTTAAAGAAAGTGTGCCTTTCTTAAGAAGATAAGTTGGATTTGTGACAGGTAAGTGTAATCGACTTGGGATCTTCTCCGGCAGAGGGTGTTGTATGAGGGTCGCTGAACCTCCTGCTTCCGGTACCACAACACCAGTTGGTGGTGTCACTGGCGCAGACGAAATTCGTTGATTCAATCCCATTTACGTGACTCAGCTTAAACATGAGTTGACTTACCGAGAATTCCAAGGCGAAAATTGAGTGTCACCACGACGACCTCGCCGTAGCTAGCCAACACCGAGCCGTCGTACGGATTTCCGGAATTCCATTCGAAGGATTCGCCGTGGATGAACACGATGACGGGGAATTTTGGACTCGGTCTACCTGAAGCTGAACAAAGAACAGAACATGGTCACTACAAAAAAGGTGTTTGAGAATAGGGTGTTGAGGAGGATATTTGGGCCTAGGAGAGAAGACGATGGGGTCTGAAGAAAACTACATAATGACAAACTTAAAAATTTGTACTCCCCCAGTATTGTCAGGGTGATTAAGTCAAGAAGAATGAGATGGGCAGGGCATGTAGTGGGCATGGATGGGACAAGAGGTGTGCACCAGGTGTTGGTTGGGAAGCCTGAGGGGAAGAGACCTCTGGGGAGACCTATACGTAGATGGGAGGATAATCTCAGGCGGGATCTATGGGAGATAGGAGTTGAAGGAGACTGGATTTTGCTGGCCCAGGACAGGGTCCGGTGGAGAGCTTTGGTTAGTTCGGTGATGAACCTTCGGGTTCGGTAAGCCATCTGGTTGGTTGGGTCCACTATTTGGGAAGCCTGAGGGGAAGAGACCTCTGGGGAGACCTAGAAGTAGATGGGAGGATAATCTCAGGCGGGATCTATGGGAGATAGGGGTTGAAGGAGACAGGGTCCGGTGGAGGGCTTTGGTTAATTCGGTGATGAAACTTTGGTTTCCCTAAGCCATCTAGTTAGTTAGTTAGTTAGTTAGTTACTTAGTTAGTTAGTTAAGCCTACGGTTACCATAAAGCGAAGAAATGTGTAGACCATTCATTTTAGTAAATTTGCAACATGACGAACTGAGAAGATGAAGGAACTACACAGAATAGCGACAAGGGTGACACAGCCGAAACGTCTGCCCTCGGTATTTTAATTCAGAAAACGGCGCTGTATTGATTTCGTCCCTCTGAACCGCCATTAGATGCTGTAACAATTTTACTGTCTCCGCAGTTCACAAGTTGGATTTACTCTATACCAGCGTTTCAACTGGCGGCCCGCGGGCCGAATCCGACGCGCGAACGCATTTGTTAATTTGTTACTAGTTAGTACAAACCCTTTTTTTAAAGTTGATATTCCGTCATTGGTAAAAGAACATTCGGCTCAGAACTCTCGGTAAAGCCATTGAGTTTAAAAGCGTAAGATGTACTTTCTACTGGTACAAATTGTTACTAAATCAGATACAATCTGTTAAAAGTAGCGGAATTTAAATAATTTGAGTAAGTTTTCCAGGCAAAAATTGTGAGAGATACAAGCTATTGCACGAGCAAATTTAAAA